TAAACTAAACTTAACTAAACTAAAAAATATATACTCACTCATGGCTGCTGGCTGATTGAGTAGTGCGTGCACAGTGGTACACAAGCAGCAAAAATCAAAATATAACAACAAAAAATCTTTAATATTCATAGCTATACATTTCAATATATATATATGTATATGTACTTTTCTAGTGCTAAACCAAACCAATTTATATTTTTTTTTTTTTTAGGCAGTTTTTTCATTGTTTGTTATTTGTTTTTTTTTTATCGAATAGAACTTTTGTTTGTTGTTCTTGGTTCTGAGGTAACGGTAACAAGTGTGCGAAGCCACTGTGCACACTCTATGTGTTAGAGGGCTGCCCATGGCTACACTCACTCATACACACGTCAAATATCCATTCAAAGTGAAGTTGAGTTGGGTGAGTTTAAATTTGAGCGCACGTTCGCTCTCCCAATCTACGGCCTTTAAATGAGTAAGCGAAAACAAAAGCACAAAACGGAGTGCAAAATTTAGCAAAAGCCCAATGATGCCATTTCAGCTTTTTTCCCGTCAGATGCTGCAATCTTTTCAGAAAGCTTTTTTACCTATTTTATTCCGTACACTTTTTCTAAATATTGTATATTGCTTTTCAATCTTCAAATTTGAGTATTGCAATACAAAAGTACCAAATTACTTCTTAATAATAGGGTAAGCCAATTACTACAACAATATATTAGCTGCAGCTAGATTTACTCTGGACAAAATGGCAACTCTGGCCTTGGTCACTCACTTCGTATACCGAACTGCATGAGCTTTTCGTTCGACGAAGCTGTATGTGATGTGTGTGTGTGTGTGTGTGCGTAAGAACGAAAAAGATCACTGCGCAATTTGTTGTTCTGTTGCTGTACTTTTTGTACGCACGGCGCGATGCGTCGCGTCGCAATACAACTCGATTGCCGAGTCCACACGCGCTCTCTTTCACTCCATTCGTTCTTCGGCTCCGCTTCAACGTTGCTCAATGCATTTTGAGCATTGTCGATTTTAACGGAATCTGTTTGCCATTTATGCAGCCCTCTAGTATGTGTATGCGTGTGCGTATGTGTGTTCATGTGTGTGCGTGTGTACGTATGTGTGTGTGTGTATGCGGCACAAAGCTTCAGTTCACAATTTCCCAGCTAAATGAGTGCGACAAGTGCAAAGAGTGGATAAGAGAAAAAAAAAAACAAGATTTTTTTGGTAATATATTTACACTGTAAAACACAGCGATACCCAATACTAACAAACTTGTTAAACTTTATAGAAAAATCGAACAAAATAAAACACGTCAAGAAAAACTTAATAAAACACATATATATATACATATGTATATGTACAATATATG